GTTCGGAGGGAACAGTCACTGGAGAAGGATGTCATGCTGGGTAAGATGGAGGGTCAGAGAAAAAGAGGAAGACCCCCAATGAGATGGATCAGCCAGGTGGCATCATTGATGGTGTCAAGTGTGGAAGCGGTCGTGAGGTTGGCCCAGGATCAGACATTGTTTCTTTCTGCTGTTCATGGGGTCGCTATGAGTCGGTTCTGACTCGATGGCACCTGACAACAACAACAACATATCTAGATATACATATATATCAGATATATAATTCAGATATATTTGCCTTCAGATATATGACCATCAAGTACTCCATCAACCCACACATATCTGGTGTAGATTATTGCAGTAACACCCTAGTTTGTCCCCTGGCTTCTCTGCTCATCCTACAAGCACCTACTCTCTACATAGCAGCCAAGTGAGTAGTTGCCATCAAGTAGACTGACCCATGACAACCCATGTGTGTCCTAGTCAAACTGTGCTCCATAGGGTTTTAAATAGCTGATTTTTTAAAGAAGTAGATCAAAAGTCTTTTTTTCTAGACACCTCTGGATAGGGTTGGCCCTCCAGCCTTTCAGCAGGTGAATTCCATAATCGTTTGCATCATCTGGAACTCCACAAAGTAACCAATTACTTACAAAACTTAATCTAGATCACGTCTCTGCTCAAAACTCTTCAATGGCTTCCCATTACACTCAGAATAAAATCTAAACTCTGTAGCATGGACTACAAAGCTTTGCCTGATCAGACCCTGCCTATCCTTCTGATGTCCTCTTTCCTTCTCTCAGCCTTATTCACTCTCCTCTAGTCATACTAGACTCTTTGCTGTTTCTGAAACATGCCCAGCTTGCTCATGAATTTAGGGCTCTAACATACATTGCTCCCTTCATGACATGATTTTCAGCCAGACATCTGCAAAGCTTGTTTCGTCTCTTTCTCCAGTGTCTATTCCAATTTCACCTTATCAGAGTTAGGGGATAAGAGGGCAAGCTCTTGCCTCCTCAACTATTCTGATAAAGTAAAATCTTAACTGAGACTTGAAGTAATAAAGGAAGGAAGCTATGTAGATATTTATTTAGCTTGCTTCTTCCCATCAGAGACATTTGAATACTGACTGGATGCTTGACAATGCTAAGAATTTATTATTAATTTTTCTTTGAGGATTGATAATGGTTTTGTTGTTTTGTTTCAGAAGAATCCTGATTTCTGTTGCCAGCCATGATGGAGTAACATTTTCAGACAATGAAACAACTAGTTTCAGATCCTAAAAACAGGCAGCACAGGTCTGTGATCCCTGCATGAAGGGAAACAAGTGAGGTAAGGCCTATGACCACCTGGACTTTCTTTGTACAGGCACTTTTCAGTCTGCATCTTTGAGGTGGAGCTCAGGGAGACTGAAGTGATTAGGTGTGATTGTATGGCAGATTTCTAGGGGGAAAAAGAGAGCTCCAGAAATTTGCCTGGAGGTTCTTTTGCATGTTTTCTGAATACTGAGTTAAGCATGCATGGACTAGAGTGAAACTCTACAAAAACTGACAAGGAGCTGTCAGCTGCATAATTCCCAGAGCTCTTTTCAGAATGGCGAGATGTTTGCGCTATGACCTGCCAATGCAGAGTCATTACTAATTACCCAGGATGTTTAGAAGCGATCTCAGAAGGGTGTCTCTATAGCACAAAGATAAACAATTCCTATGGTAAAGTTCCATACTCACTCTTAAGAAAGCTTGAAAAAGACAACACAATCTAGATGCTCAACAGCATACTTTAAAAAATGTTCTTCACTCAATAAGATACTACTGGACAGCCAAATGTATGGGAGACTATGATTCATAGTCAGGAGAAAGACTAGAAATCAACCCAGAAATGTCAGCGGAGATAGAAAGAGTAGTCCAGGACTTTAAAACATTTGTTGTAAATATGCACAATATGTTCAAGAATTTAAAGGAAAACACAGCATGATGAAGATGGAAATGGAATACATAAAAGAATCAAATGGAATTTCAAAGATTCAAAAATATAATACCTAAAATGAACAATTCACTGGATGTGGATTAAAATCACATTAGACTAAAATTTAGTCATTTGGAAGAACACAGATGAACTATTTAAAAAAGAAAAAAGAGACCTTAGCTAAAATATTTATAGATGACATTTTTTAATGCCTGAAATTTTCTTCAAAATAATACAGGGGAAAGGGCAGTGGGGAAGGTAGAAATGAAACAATGATTGTACATGAGCTACTGATTGTTGAAGATGAGATATATAGTTCTGGGGGTTCATTATATGCTTCTTTTGATTTTTGCATATTCTTGAAGTTATTCATAAGAAAATATTTGAGAAAAATGGTTTTTGTTCTACTGTGTCATATGGGGTCATGAAGAATCAAAAGTCAGCCTGAATGCACCTAATAGCAATATTCAAGACAGAGTAGTTAGTTTTTTTTCTTTTTTTCTGTCTGAATCTGGAGGAAATATATCAATGATAAATAAATCTTTCTTTGTCCAACAGTTTTAATACAACAGTCTTGAAACTCAGCTCTGCTCTGATGGGCAGAAGCTGTTGTTGTTAGTGCTATTAAGTTGATTCCGACTCATAACAGCCCTGTACAGGGTTTCTGAGGAGCAGCTGTTGGGTTTGAACTACCAAACTTGTCTTTCGAAGTCCAATGCTTATCTGACAGCAGCAACACACCAGGAGTCCCATGGGCAGAAATTGGGACCAAACTAAAAAGTTAGGGCCTCCTCTTATTAGGATAGTGCTATGAGATGCAGGGAGAGAAAGATGAGGACTCAGGAGGAAGTCAGGGTTCTGGGGGGACCCATTAACATAGGCAGCTCCATATGTTTAAAGGGAAGCATGATTGCACTTACCAGTGTTTTCTACCTGGGGTCAAGGTGGAGAAATGGGCTGGGTTGGTGACTGGTACCATACATCCTTGAAAATTTTATCTGTGAACTCAACATTTAAAGTTTTTACTTATCTTTTAAGTGCTTAGTGTTAAAGTGACAAGTTAAAAATCATGACATGGGCTAGGGAACAATTGGAATAAAATCTATAAGTTAGACACAGAACTCAGTCTGCAACAGACCCTAATTTTAGTGCCAATGACTACACCACATGAGCCTTTGGCAACAGAATTGTCTCTTTTAGAAGATCCATTTTAGAGACTATATTCCCAGTTGTTTTCAGCTGGGGCATCCATAGGATATTTTCCAGTGGCCCAACTCCTGTAGTTCTCTAAAGAGATATTTAACCACCATAGGCCATGTATAGAGTTATCTTTTCAAGTAGTTGTTCTTTTGTAATTTTGTTGATTGATGGCAAAGACACTTTTCCCTGAATACATTTCTACCCTGTCTGTGAATATAAAATGATGAAAATTATACCAATGTTGCATTTGAAAAGGAAACAAAATCTGATATGAATACTATTGTTGTTGTTGTTAGGTGCCATCAAGTTGGTACCGACTTACAGTGACCCTGTGTACAGCAGAACAAAACACTGCCCGATCCTGGGCCAACCTCACTATTGTTGCCACACTTGAGTCCATTGATGCTTCCACTTTGTCAATCCATCTCACTGGGGTCTTCCTCTTTTTCTCTGACCCTCCACCCTACTAAAATTCACTGATCAAATCTTGATCCTTGGTAATTATTTTGCAGTGTTTTCTAGCTACAGTTTTGTTTTCAAAATAGTAGCATCAGATTAAAACATTTGTCTATCCCTGATTATAGCTTTCACAACTTTTTTAAAAACCAAAATTTTCAGTTTTCAGTGTCAGAAAAAAACCAAAAAAAACGTATAACACATTTTACAATGTGCAATTTTAGTTGTTTCAACTTTTACTTTATTTTGTTCATTCCTATTAGTAATTCTTATAAATGAGATAAAAGAGAGATGTTATTGTGAAGTGCCATTGAATGGGTTCTGACCCATAGCGACCCTATATAGGGTTTCTGAGGATTGACTGGTGAGCTTGAACTGACAACCTTACAGTTCAAAATCACTTTGTAATCCAGCACATTAACCCACAGCACCACACCAGGACTCCACAAGAGAGATATCCTTTATTTAAAAAAATCAATGAGAAATTGAAAATACTTTTCTTGGGATATTCTGGAGGCATAGCCTTTGCAGCACAAAGAGGAACTTTAAAGGTGGTCAGTACTTTGATGAATATAAATCATGAGAAAATGTTACTCCCTGAATTTTTTAGATTTATGTTTCTTGTCATACTCTACTAATATATTCAAAATATTTACTAAGTTATACAATTTTAAGCTTTTCTTTTGAGCTGAAGCTAGTAATTTTCTAGTGGTTTCCTGTTTTGTTGTTGTTATGTGCTGTGGAGTCAGTTCTGACTCATAGCGACCCTGTACAGGGTTTCTGAGGCTGTAAATTTTTACGGGAGCAGAAAGCCTCATCTTTCTCCCAAGGAACAGCTGGCAGTTTTGAACTGCTGACCTTAAGGTTCACAGCCCGATTCGTAACCACTATGCTACTGTAGACTGTATTTAAATACTTCAAATCACTTCAAAGTCACTTTTAATACACGTATAATGAAACATCCATAGCCATTTTCTCCCCAGACATTCCTTTAACCATTTAGATTCGTATTACAGATGTGTGCATCTCACACATCAACACCTGCAGACGTGAACTCTGACTTTGCTGCTGGTTTTTGACCACCTTTCTGTCAGCTGAGAGTACACTGAGGAGGAGAGGAAGCGGTTTCCATGTCAGGACTTCGTCATGTCCCATTACAATTAGGGAGGAGGAGAGAATCAAAGATAGGATGACTTGCTTACCTAAGACCCATTTCATGATTAACATCTCTGTCCAAGAAAACTGTGTTGTTTTCACTCTGAAGATTTGTTTCGGGTAGTCTGTGAAGGTTTCGTTCGGCAGTGTTTTAACGCCTTCAAAACGGTCTGATGCATTCACAACTAATAAGCCCAAAAAGATGGTAAAAGAAACTGCATGGGCTACAAACTTCATGAAAGGGCTCCTCAGGGTTCGTCCTAGCTGGAAACAAAATATGTACAAGACATGTTAAACTTGCAGCCATAGATAGATGCAAGTCTCTTAAAAACATTACTTTGCTGAAAGCTTAACCAGATAATTCTCCGTCTTGGATAGAAATTGCTAACTGAACCCAAACAACATTTTCTCTTGTGTGCTTTTTTTGTTGTTGCTCAGTGCTTGATCAAATCTATTTTCTCCTGACTTGTGTTTCCTTTGTAGAAGACTTGGTGGCTTAGTTACATCATGGTATCCTAACTACATGCATATGAATGTTATACCTTTCAAATCTGGGGAAAAATGGTTCCAATAGACTTCACAATTTAAAAAAATTTGTCTTTGTATGAGCTCTTTTTGTTTCCTTTAGGTTTAGATTATTTGTTTTCAACCTTTCCTGTATCTTGGAATGGTTGAAAACAAAAAATTTTTTTGTTTATTTAAATTTTATTTGATTTGTTTATGTATATTTATTTAAAATTACATATTTCCCACTAAATATTGCTTTAATTGCTTGCTGAAAGCAAAGAGAACTAACTGATGAAAATAAAAGACTTCAGCCTTAATACAAAGAAACAGAAATCTAAATGGACTAATAAGGAACATCATGATACATGGAGAAAAAATTGCAGTTGTCAAGGATTTCATTTACTTGGATCCACAGTCATGGAAGCAACAGTCAAGAAATCAAATGACATTGCATTGGACAAATCTACTGCACAAGACCTTTTTTACAGTGTTACAAAAAAGATGTCACTTTAAGTTCTGACTCAAGCCATAGTATTTTCAATTGCCTCATATGCATATGAAAGCTGGACAATGATTCAGAAAGATTTAGAAAGAATTGATGCCTTTGAATTATGGTGTTGGCAAAGATTGTTGAATATACCATGGATTGCCAGAAGAAGGAACAAATCTTTCTTGGAAGAAGTGTAGTCAGAATGTTCCTTAGAAGCCAAGAATGGTGAGACTTTGTCTCACATACTTTGGACATGTTATCAGGAAGGAACAGTTCCTGGACATCATGCTGGTTAAAGTAGTTTTTGTTAAGTGTCATTGAGTTGGTCCTGACTCATAGTGACTCTGGATAGGCTTTCCAAGGAGCGATTGGTGAGTTTGAACCGCTAACTTGCAGTTCAAACTGATCTTGAGGTCCAGTGATTATCCTAGAGTGCTACAGCAAAAAAAAAAAAAAAAGAAAAAGAGGACGACCTCAACGACATAGACTGACACAGTGGTTGCAACAATGGGCTCAAACAGCAACGATTGTGAGATTGCTGTAGCGTACTTTCCTGTTGTACATGGAGTCCCTATGAGTTGGAACCGACTCGATAACTGTGTTCCATAAATTTTGTCATAAAGCATTTTCATCAACATGCAGTTATGGTGGCTTTGTAATTTCCCTTTTGATTCTTCTTTTATAACTCAGGTTATTTAATATTCTGTTATTAGACTCCTGGCATACAGGGCTCTTTCCTGCTTTTAAAAAATTCTAATTTTACTGCAGCATTCTTACAGAACACAGCCTCTATGATAGTCATTTAAAATTAATTGAAGATTTCCTTGTGACTAACACATAGTTAATTTGTATAATTGTTTCACAAGAACCTGAGATGAACCAAAAGATGCCCCTGTCAAGGAATAATTATTGATCGCATCTTCTCTCTCTCATGACACACTTTCCAAAGGCCACTTAGTTCTTTGAGGATTAGATTGGGAACTGCACATAGCAAATAGCCTATTGATGGCCTCATAGGCCTCCCCCAGGGGACTGCCATCATCCTCCACCTACACACCAATACTTACTCCTCACCCATGTATACTAATAAAATGAAAGCAAAGAGGGAAACATTTCCTGAGTTTAATTTCTTTTCTATGGCAGATGTTCGACTGATTAATTGATGTTCATACTCTGCCTCATTCAGAGTCCTAGAGTGTAATGTCAACCAAGAGATAAGAGTATTCGTTAAGTAGAATTTCAGTAATAGGTTTTTCCAGGTTAAATTTTCCTGTGGGATAAAGCACTGGACTGCAATGTTGGATTGAACCACAAGGTCGGCCTTTCACATTCACCAGCTGCTCCTTGGAAACCCTATACAGGGTTGCTATGAGTTGGAACTGACTCAACAGCACTTAACAACAACAACAACAGGGTAAGGTGCATCATAATATTATAAATCAGATAATTTTATCATGTTCTTTTAATATGCTTTAGTAAGGTAATCATCTACTTTAATTATTCTGATTATTAGTATAAAATGATTTATTATGATCCATATGACATAGAACATACCTATTTAATTTATCTTTTTTAAAATTAGTTTTTGTCTTTCTTTAAGAACTCTCATATCAGGTTCAGTCATTGTGAATCCTTGATTGTGCTGGAAAAAAACTTATTTGGATTTATCTGCATTCTCAAATTGTCATATGACACTAGAATAACTTTTGAAATGGAAAAAAAAGATGTTTATTTAAAAATCATATGTTCCACAAAAGTGACATTTCTGTAACATCTAATTTTATTATATAAAAATATAGACAGTTGAGTATTTTTGGCAATAGATGTGCTAAATTCAGAAAGCATAGATTAAATATAAGGAGAAATAAACTATTTCACATAAATTCAATAAACTGGAATTAAACCATTTCTCATTTAGACTTCTATGATACCAAATCGCTTGTTTGAATTTTTCAAAATTTTAACTCTCTACACTGGCATCTTGGAGTCCCATTTCCCAACCAGGTCCTTGGAACATTTTGATGTATCCTGGGCAACATCCTTAAATAATTGTCTCATTCTTTCTTGTCACTGTGCCCTGATGGAGATGGTGGTAAGTGAGGGAAATGGAAAATCACCACAGGTAAGGCTGTGTGTGCATAGTGGGGAGAAGGGAGACTGAGGAGAGAGCAAACACCACCAATATTGTGGCTTCCAGAAGTATCTCAGAAATGTCCGAAAAACATGGGGATGCTGAGATAGACATGGGTCTCAAGGGATTGCTGGGTAGTCTTCCCAGGCCTTTTTATCCATGGCATCTACATAGTTTTCTGGGGATCAGCTCGGTGAGAATGTGAGGCTGTTTCTTCATCTTCTCACCCAGCAGAGGCACCTGATTATGGGAATCTACATGCACTGTGCCCAAGCTGGCTTTGAGATTCTCCAGAAGCCCTGGTTTGAAGAATTTAATGTTTTCTTTGTTATCTCCTTCAAGTTTTCAGCCTTTTGACAGAAGATAAGTCTGTAAATTATTAGATATACTTCAAACCACAGAAAAAAGCCCTGATAAAATTCTGCAGGAAGGTTACCCTGGACTCAGCTCTCACTTGATTTAGGTCATAGTGAGAAAAAGTGAGGTTATTGATGCTCCTTTCCTATTCTGGGCTTGAAAGTCTCTTTTTAATTAGTAAAACTTTGATAAAGGTCAAATAAGATTAAATCATTTCAATGTTTCCCTATTTTTCCTTTCTCTCTCTCTCCTTTTTTGGTGACATTCCCTATTTGACTTAGAAAGATCATTTTTGAAGCAAATTGAGCTTGGGGAAAACTTCCTTTTACCCAGGTGAGGCAAAATCCAGGAGAAAAGTCAACCAGTATATGGCAGCAGTACTTAGGTAGAGCATCATTAAAGCTGGTCCAGGTAACTGGCTTAGGTGTTAAAAGAGATAGTGGAGCTTTCAAACTGTAGGCTTTGGCCTATTCTGCCTAGAACTCATGACTGGTGAGTCTGAAAACACAGGCTAAAGCAGCTTTCATTAATTTGACCTGCGGTACTGAGGATATAATCAGGAAATCCAAGCTTATAACAACTAAGTCCTTGGCTGCCTTCAAATATCGTAGGTTCTATTGTTTCACTATGAGAAATATGTCATTGTGAAAGCAATTTATTAGAATTTAGTTCAGTGCCCCTGCATTAGCTCCCAATGCACTGCATTCACAGGAGTTAGGATGGGTGCTTGGATCGACCGGTGGTCACACTTCAGTGTGTAAGTACCTTAAAAGTGTAAGTTACTTGCTACTTGGACTCAGTGGCCTGTGGGTCTCCACATTCCCATGGCTGTGACTGGGATTGTTCATGTGAAGAATGGTTCCAGCTTCTTGTATCACTAGAGTCCCCCTCACCAAAAGCCATGCTCACTATCAGGTGCCACGGTCTCAAGCAAAGACTTAGCTTACAAGTAAAAAAAAAACAAACAGAGGGAAACTTTGGATCAAATATTACAAAAAGAGACATGCATGTCTTTAAGGCTAGAGTGGTTTTCAAATGCTAGGTTCCAAAGTATGCCTTCTCTTCAAATTCTTATTCGAAACATCTAACACAGGGCTTAAAAATCTGCCCTCATTTTTGGGAGGAGTTCATTAGGTATCTTACATTATAATTTGAATTTTGATTTTGTCCTCGGGACTGAAATGGTATTCATTGAAGTGGGATTTAGAAAAGCAGTGCTTCCAATCAAAGAGAAAGGGTTAAAGTGTCACATGATGACTTTGACTCCTTGCTACTGAAAAAAAGTATGGCCAGCTTTAAAGATCTGAATCAAGCCCATTCCAAAGTCCATTGGAAGCAGCTAAAATGTTTACTGTTGATGGTCTTTGTAGACACTGTTCTATCCTGGTTGGTCCCTGGACCACAGGGTGTGAGTATTCCTGTTTTGAACCATTTCATTTTTGGAAGGTAGAACAGAGAGCGTCACAAGATACAGAGTCTCTCCTTCCTCACTACTTGCTTTGTTTGGGAGTAGGGGACTTGACAGTTAACACTGATGTTTTTCAAAAGAAGAGTTATATATGGCAATGGAGACTGATAGATGCACATTTCAAAAACATTGGGTAGGATTCTAAAGATGTTTGTAGCTCTCGCTGCCTAATTCCTGGGATTAATTTATAAGGATAATTAAATAGCAAAGATTAACAGGTAATAGAAGAAGTCAGCTTTTCTAGCACTTTTATAATTGGAGCTTGTTTTTATGATATTGACTTTTATCAAAATCTGCCTGCTGTGGAGACACTATTTAAACCATTGAGGAAGACTGTCATCCTTTCAGCTGTTAGATTTTTACAAGCCATTAGTATAAATTATGAATGAGAATGGGATAGAAAAAGATGGAAAACAACCTAATCAGCCTTGAAGGCCTCTTGGCATTGGGGCCCTTCTAGAGAGAATAAAATGAGCTCTCTACTAAAGACTTAGCTGAGAGTTCCATGCAGATAAGAACTTGGGTCTCCCAGGGGCTGAAGATCTCAACAATGAAAACTGAGAAACCAAAATTCCTGTTCTTCTTATTGACCCTGACAAACTAGTTCCATATGACCTGCAGTTATCACCATGTGTACACATCTGTGATGTGGTTACCTCTTATATAATGTTAGGGAGTGGAGCTTCCTAACGTTACCTTATAATCTCCATATTGAGCTGTCTTTCTTAGGGACCCTCAAAAGTTAGACGTCTATAAATAGGATTGACAGCCTTGGAAATTCAGTGGGAAAGAACTGATGAGGTCATGTTGGCAGGCTAATAAAACAATTTTGGTGTTTCTAATAGGCTTGGAATTAGGACAGCAACTACATGGAAGTAAATGCACCATTAGGTTGGGAACATAAATCTCAACATTTGCTACATGTTGCTGGATATTAGCCAGTTGATGGGGTATAGCAGTGATGTTTTATGAATACAGTTATTAAAAGAATATCAACATATTAATTTTCTTCTTCTTTTTTTTTTTTTTGAGGTGAATGTAATGTCATTAGACCATGAAATCATTGGGATGATGCTTGCATTTTCATGGAGTTACTAAAGATATGTAAAGGCATTTGACCCCCTGACAAGTGGGATCCAAGCATATTAATAGATCTCTTGCTGTGCCACACCTCCTGGGAGGACATTGTGTCCTGGGCACTGGGAGCCCTTTGAAAGGACTGGTTTCTTCACATGGCAGGTTTGACCCCTCTGTAATCCCTAGTAATGTCTCTGCCAAACTTGAAAAGATTTCTTTCTAAATGGTGAAAGGGAAACTAAAAATACCTTATCTGTTCTTTGGCTGCTTGAGAACAAGTTTGACAAGCCGTTTAATGAGGGAATCATTGCTCCTAAGAAGTGGAGCCACCAAAAATCATCTCATGCCACAGACCAAGTCTTGTCAGTCAGAATCATTGCTTTGTCATTGCATCAAGCTTAGACTTGGAGCCCAGAAAATAGAGACACGTGACAAGTGGCTTAATACTCAACTAATGTTTGTCATCAGTGCTGTGTTTTCTGGTTTTGTTGGAATCTCAGGGGGCCCTAAATGTGAAGTAGACATGTACCTGAACATAGAAAGGAAACTCCAGCAGTGGGACCAAAGTCTACTGCTATTGTTTCTATTTGAATACCCCAGAAGACCACTATAGGTGTAATCTTATGTCCCACAGAGTCCCTGGATTTGGTAGACCCAAAGAAGCCTAGAATTTCCTTTAAAATTTTTTTATAGAACAAATTACATTTGTGTGGCACTGAACAAAATTCTCTTCACTTCTATCAAAAATGAAAGAAAAAAGTTAACATCTGACGTAGAATCTCTTTCTAAAGTTTTTCCTGGCTTACCAGACAGAGGCAAACCAGGCTTATTTCCTGGTGCTGACTAGCCCCAGATTCCTGGAGGCGGCCACATTTAGTTCTACAGAAAAACTGATTAATGGCAGCATTTTACTCACCAAGTTGCTGTTATTTTAATGGATGAACAGCATAGAATTAATTTGGTGCTCAGAAAAAGTGGAGGTGAGCTTCCCTATCCGTGGAGGCTCTGGACAGTGAGCCAATTTGCAGTTCAAACTAGATAGTTCGAACTTCAAAATATGTGCCTAAAAGCCAATTCAGCTTTAAATCTTTTTTTAAAAAATATTATTCACTGTGCTTTCTTCAGCTCAGAATGAAAGACAGGAAAAAAAAAAATGTCTTCACTAACATAGGTGATTTAAAAATTCATGGCATGATGGCCTCAATTGAACACTCCAAATATTCAGCCTAAGGGCTTTTGTTTTTAATACCGTTCTACAGGGAAGGAATTTTACTTTTCTTGATGGCACTCCTTGTCTGAGTCAGTCAGCTTATTGCCTGCGTGTTAGGTGGTAGCCTCCTCAGCTGCCCTGATGTCTTAGGACCCATCACCCTGGCATGGGTTCTCTCTCAATGGAGTTGTGACGAAGTTGTTGGTTCACTGATGACACTTTTATTAACTGCATTAGCTGGTCAAATTCTCTGTAGCACTCATCTCCCTGTAGTCATAGTTCTTCTGCTGAATATTAATTGTTGTTGTTGTTAAGTGCCATCGAGTCGGTTCCGACCCGTAGCAACCCTGAACAGGGTTTCCGAGGCTGTAAATCTTTACGGGAGTAGAACGCCTCATCTTTCTCCCGCGGAGCAGCTGGTAGTTTCGAACTGCTGACCTTGCGGTTCGCAGCCCGATTCGTAACCACTACGCTACCAGAGCTTCACTAAACTTAATTCCTTTTTCAATATATCACTATGTAAATGCAACATTGGAACCTTTAATAACAATCTTAAACCCATGACTAGTATTTCAAAATGTTTTCTTGGTTTAGTCTTATAGGTGCTAACTCTTCCTGGAAACTGGAATGAATGACTGACTGCTGGCTCTCTCTGTGGTCTTTAGCTGAATGGCTGGACTGTGGGGGTGGTAGAGCTGGCAGCTTGGCTACTGTGGGCTTTACTCCTTCCATTTTCAGGAGACACCCAGATACTTCCCCTTCCTTGTGAATAAAGAACTTGGTCTCGAATCTCTTAGAGATCTCCCTCTCTTTCTTTTGTCTTTCTCCTTCTTGTAGTCTAATTTTCTATCCATGTGGAGGTTGGAATGCAGTCAGGGAAGCCAGGGAAACTAGGAAGATGGTGACATGGGTCTGCTTTCACACAGCATGAGCACACTTGACACCTACTAATTATTTCTCTGAGCCTGTCATTAGTATATATGTCATAAGGCAACCGCAGGAGTGAAGTGAGATATTCCATGAATAGGACAAAGAGAAAGTCCTCAATACATGTTGGATTATTACCATTATTGTCATTATTATCACTGTGGGTTTGGAGGACGTGTTTAGGATATTATATAATGAAGAGGGAAAATGCCTTTATTCCTTCTCTATTCTATTACTGATCCTTTCAGATTATGTCTCACATGTTTAAAATTTTCCATTCTAAAATTTCCATCTGTTACCTCTCTTTCTTTAATGATGTCTAGGAAACAAAACTGTGTCCTAGCATTTTCTTTCTTCGGTGGTGTTTCACTTAGTGATAGGTTAAATCAGGGCTGTTTTCTTTATGTGTGTGTGTATGAAATCAGCTGCTGATCTGAACAAATTTGACTTTGGGTTATGCTAAGAAGAGAAGAAATAACCGCCAACGACATGCACCTGAAGCAGTCTGTACCTTGCTGCACGGAGCAATCCAATAGGCTATGGCGAGAAAAGGGAGGCCTATGGAGACTCCAAAGACAGCCAGGAATTTCACAGCGATAGACTGTTGACGTAAGCCTGAGAGATTTTCATACCACATGGTAAGCAATTGCTGCTGACAGTTAGGATGAGCAACGAACTGTAAAAACAAAACAAAAACAAAAACAAAACGCAACAGGAAAATGGCATCGATAGCACTTGAACAATATATGAGCTACAAGTGACTAGGGGCTGAATTGTTTGACCTGGGTTGGGGGAAGGGGTGGCCTGGGTGTTTGAGCTGGTGCTGCTGGGTTAGGTACCTACTGGGACCTTCTGACTCAGGGATGCTGGGACCAATTGCATCAATGCTTGATAAACTGAGAGTCCAGAGAAGTCTCAGGCCACAGAAAATGACAGCTAGCTCTTGGAAAAGGCTTATCTTCAATCTAGGCTGTTTTGCTAATCAGAGGAAATATCTTTCTGGGAGAGTTCATTTGGGAGGTAGCATAGAGAGCATGGATGGAGCATGGGTGGGGTTTTGGAGTGAGACATCAATTTGAATTTTGTTTGCTTCTTTACTATCTGAGTGATCTTGGACCAGCTACTTAACCTCTCTGAGCCTCAATGTCTTCACCCACAAAGCAGAGTTTATTAAATAATCTTGGAGGATTAAATGAGAGAGTGCAGAAATCTAACAAAAGGTGCTTAAGATGTTTCCAGAGAACTTGCAAAAATTGTTATTTCCCCACTGGATTTCAGTCGGTTTGGGTTGACGGAACATTTGTGGAATGATGGAGAACTGGCATATTGTATCCCCCCATGTAGTGTGTAGCCATCACACCACCCTCATCTTGGCACCACTCTGCCCTTTTGCATAGGTCACCAGACAGGCAGGATGGACCACTGGTGCCATCTTTGTACTGAGTGACCTGGCCTCCTGGATATGCCTTATTGGAATATGTTTCCCTTGGCATGAATTGGACTGGTTAGGTTTTCTTTCCTGGGTAGTAGGGAGTTAACATGTGAACTTAGGTGATCTGGGCAGTCATCTTCTATTGTGTGGCCTGGATAATGAAATATGCCAGTTAACAAGAGAAAGAAGAATGAAGATGTGTTGAGAGAAGCTGATATAGTACCTGACCCTCTCTGGAATCCATCTCTACTTTGCATAATCCACTGCTATATTCATATATATATATAATTTTCTTCTTTCAGCAAATTGACTTGAGTTACTGCAATCAAAACACCCTTTTTCTGCAAAAATTTTTAGCTACTTGTCATTTGTTTAATTGACTCAACCTCCTACCCAGAGGATTCTGGTAATAGACCGTATTTAAAATTTAGGGGAAAAAATTTAAATTTGAGTAGATTATACTCATTAAGTTATTTTCCCCCTCTGTGACCCAAGGTAGATATTATTTCCTTTTGGCAGCCTTGCCCTTTTGTGTTACTTGGGGGACCCATTTGCCCCAGGAGTGTTACTGGGACCTGTGTATGAGATATATGCACGTGAAATAACAGAAGATGATCACACAGCTCATGCAGTGGCTCCCTGTCTTGTTGCTGCTTCTGGAAAGACTCCAGTCCCAATGTCCATCTTTGGTCTCTATCTGGGGCAAGCCCATCCCTTGCTGCCTCTGCTGCCTCCTAAACTGAGCAGCAGGAGTAGGAAGGGAAGCAGTTCTGAGAGAGAGCAAAGTGGGTACCTTTCCTCTTTCAGAGGAAAACAATGGTCCCAACTAAAACAAAGGGAGATCTCTTGGGACTCTACCCTTCTCCACGTAGACATTCTTAATTCCCACAGCTGTAGTTCTCCTTTCATAATAAAAGTAACCTGATTTAAAATATGCTATTTATTTGTATGTAGATTTTACAATGCTTCCAGGAATATCCAGTAACTGTGGGTGTTCTAAGAAATTCCAAACCAATGCTATAGAGTCAATTCTGACTTATAACTAACCTATAGATGAGTAGAACTGTCTCATAGGGTTTCCAAAGTTGTGATCTTTATGGAAGTAGACTGCTACATCATTCACCTGCAGAGCGACTGGTGGGTTGGAACTGCTGACCCTTTGGTTGGCAGCAAGGTGCTTAACCACTGTGCCACCTGGATTCAGTAGTCTGTATTAAAGAAGCCTACATAGGTGTTTACCTTGATATGAATACTTCTGTAGTTGTAGCAAAGTTTTCAATACAATTTTACGATATATGTATGTATGTTCAATATGTACTAAAGGATTTTTTCCACACTGATTTTGAAGTACAGAAATATATCATCCCTGACCCAAGGAAGATGACAGTTGAAAATCAGTCAGATCAACAGGACACAAAGAAACCTCTAGCCAAAAGGGCACAAAGCTGGGCAACAAAGGCATGAAGAACTTGATGTGAGAGGATTTTCAAAAGCAAGGTCTGAGAGAAACCTGTGGGAGACCCTTCCCCAGCTCCACCCTCCCTGCCCCAGCTAGAATAGAATGGAACTCGGAAAATCAGTGTTGCTTTAGACTAGACTTTTTGGCATCTAGTTCACAAAAGGAAGGAATAATGAAAGATAACTGTTGCCAAGAGCTTTGCCCAGGCCATTTCTGCACTAAACTTTTCTGGACCCAGAGCATGGTACAGTTTTAGGAAAGTTATTTAAGGAAAGAATGGATGTGTCCACCTTGGTTTTCCCAGTGACACGATGCTCAGGTTTCATAGCAGGGAGCCTATACTAACTAGACTGCAGCCGAGACTCTGTGAAATTGATTTCTTCATGGGGCTGAACAGTCTCTTGGTGATGGTGGTTGTGTGCTGTGGAGTTGGTTCGGATTCATAGGGACCCTGTGAGGCTGTAAATCTTTATTGGAGCAGAAAGCCTCATCTTTCTCCCGCAGAGTGGCTGGTGGATTTGAACTGCTGACCTTGCAGTTAGCAGCCCATCATGTAACCTACTCTGCTATCAGGGCTTGTTGAGCAGCCTCTTAGGAGAAGATCAGTCAAACCACAATTGGGATGGACTGTCCAGCAAACTAAGTGGAGGAGGGTGCAAAGAGATAGGAAGGGGCTCTTAGAATTCCCAGTAACAGAAAAGGAGACTGGTGAGAAGCAGGATCTGAAGATCAGGAGGGACTAGAGTCAATGTGGCTGCTGCTTCTGGAATCAGCCCCAACTATTTTGGTGTCATATTTCCACTAAGGTTCATGGTTAATGCAACAGCATTTGTATCCAAAGCTAGTTTATGCTAAGATCTAACAGAAACATCTTGCTTCCAGTCCCAGCTGATAGACAGCAGAGAACATACTTCTGGCATATGGGGACTCTGGGACATATTGACTAAATCTTGGTGGACTCTTGCTTTGCTTTCCATTGGTCTATTATCTACTATTTTTCTTTTCTAGCTCACAGGAAAATCATCTTTGCTCTTTTTTCTGCTTTATGTTAATCCGTAAGGAAACACTAGACATTTTAAGAATTGATAGTTGTTGAAGCTCTGTAAACATTTTTTTTAAAAACATTTTTTAAAAACTCTAAAAATTGAGTATTTTTAGGACTGTTTTATGAGATGCCAGCACCCATGAACCAGATAGTAATATACCACAGGGTGTAAGACGTTTCTGATGGATGGATGGTTAAATGTATGAACTGGGACAAGACTACTAGATTTCAGTCCTGGCCCTGCCACTTGCTGAACATACAGACTGAAGTCAGTTTTTGTATTTTTTTTCCTTCTTGGCTTTCCTCATCTGTAAAATAAGGATAATAATGAGAATTAAGTGAGTTAATATTTGTTGTTGTTGTTGTCAGGTGCCATCGAGTCGGAACCGACTCATAGCGACCCCATGCACAGCAGAACGAAACAATGTCCCATCCTGGGCCAACCTCACTACTGCCGCCACACTTGACGCCATCAATGATGCCACCTGGCTGATCCATCTCGTTGGGGGTCTTCCTCTTTTTCTCTGACCCTCCACCTTACCCAGCATGACATCCTTCTCCAGCGACTGTTCTCTCCGGACAATATGTCCAAAGTATGAGAGATGAAGCTTAGCCATCTTGGCCTCCAAGGAGCACTCTGGTTGTACTTCTTCCAAAACAGCTCTATTGGTTCTTTTGGCAGTCCACGGCACTTTCAGTATTCTCCTCCAACACCACACTCAAAGGCATCGGTTTTTCTATGATCTTCCTTATTCACTGTCCAGCTTTCGCATCCATATGAGGTTATTGAAAATACCATGGCCTGGGTCAGGCGCACCTTAGTCCTCAAACTGACATCTCTGCTCCTCAGTACTTAAAAAAGTTCCTGTACAGCAGATTTGCCCAGTGCAATATGTCGTCTGATCTCTTGACCACTGCTTCCACGAGTGTTGATAGTTGATCCAAGAAGAATGAAGTCCTTAACAACTTCAATCTTCTCCATTGATAAGAATGCTGTTTATTGGTCCAGTGGTGAGGATTTTTGTTTTGTTAATATTGAGATGTAATCCATATCAAGTTAATATTTACAAGGTGCTTAAGAGTAGTACCTGGCAAATAGTAAGCACTACATATCATATCTGATAAATACAGATAAGCTCCTGCCTATTCTTTCTTATTCCATTCCATCCCCTCTACCTCTTATTCTCTCTTCCTTCCTCCCAGTCCTTCAAGACCACTCTACCCTTCCTCTTTATTCCTGACTTCCATGTTGTTTCTTGCAGACATTTTCCTGAAGTGTTGGTGCCTTTAGAAAGGTCCACAAAGCCACATTCACCCACACTCTCTTTCCAATCACTCCTTCTTTGTCCTCCACTGAAGGTGCTTCTTGATTTAAGGGATTACCTCAAAATGGGCTAGGGCAGGCAGGGTCACCATCATATCTATTCATCCGACAAATGCCATAGGGAAAGTACTGGACTTCAAGGTTGGTTTGAATTGCAAGGTTGGTAGTTCAAACTCCCCAGTTGCTCCTTGGAAACCCTGTGTCAGATCTCTGTGAGTCAGAATTGACTTGATGCCACTTAACGACATCAAGCAGTTATGGAACTCTCCACCAGTTAGGTTCAGTGTAGGATACTGAATCAGCAGAAAGTGCATCTCCTGCCTCCTTTAATGTCTTTCTACCTCCCATCTTAAAAGCTGTTACGTCCTACATTATGCCTTTTCCAGGGGAAGGGGAAGAGGATTATATTTAAGCTC